TGAAGTACCTCCGTCGAGGTTTGGTGGCCGGCTTCAAGAGTTTATACACCAAGTTGTCCATGTTCACGAAGATATCGCTGTCCGTTTTCATCACGTACTTGGCTTGGTTGCAGAAAGTGGCCACCCAGCGCATTCCCATCAGTGTTTTGAGTGTGAGGTTGTGGTACGAGTCGATGAAGTCCTCGACCACGATGTCGTGAAAGATCTCGCTCTCTTGCTCCACCATCTGGTTGAGCACTGCGTCCGTGCTGCGTCCCAGAAGAAAGAGCGTAATGATGCGAAGGTCGCTGAAGGTGCTTTCGTCGCCCCACGTTTCCCTGATGGCTTGGCGGGCGTCAAACTCTTTGTGAGTGGTCGTGATGAGGATGACGAGGAAGGGCACGTTGGTTTCGCATTTCTTGGGCTCGTTGATGATGAAATCGAAGGCATGGGGGTTCAGCGGACGCGTCCGGATGTTGCCGAAGGTTGTGGTGACATTGCTCTTGTGCGCTTTCGCCGTTTTACGCGCCGGGACGGACAGTTGGCTCACATAGGACGACGTGGGACGGGATATACTTAGGTACCACAGAGCGCTGGCCCAGCAAACGACCGTCAACACGTAGAGGCATGACACTTTTGAAGGCATTGTGATGCATTTACGTGCACTTGGAGCTGTAGATCTCGAACGGCCTCGCAGCCATTAGCGATGGTACCTCAGGCAGAAATGCATAACGAAGCGGCATGTGTATGCAGCCTGACGTCAACTGTCAGAGATGTCTTCTCTTCATATGAAATCGGTGGGATTTTGTAGCAGGGTTTCGAATGCTCCCTGACACTCTTCCGCATGTTCCACTGAAATCTGAAAAACAAAACAGCAACAGTTGTTTTCAACTAGAGGCCAACTGACAAGTGGGTTACTCAACTGAAGGACCATATGATGTGAAAGATAGAATTTTTCATTTACATATATGCATTTGGCAGATGCTTTCAACCAAAGCGACTTACAATGCATTCATTGCAATTTTTTTTTTATCAGTTTTGCTTTCCCGGGGAACTGAACCCATGACTTTACTGTTGCAAGCACCATGCTCTGCTGTATGAGCTACAATATGGTTTAATGGCATTTGTACAAATTTACAAAACTGTAGGACTGTCAAGAAATTTACAATGGGGATCAACTTTAGTTAGCTCCTTGTGCCTGATGAAGACCTGACTGGTCGAAACGTTCTTGGAAAAGAAATGTTCTTGGAGCTATAATTTTCTGTGTGTGAACTATTGATTGATTGTCCTGAACTTGAACCAAATTTTGGGGTCTTTTGGATGTGTGCACATTTTTGCATTGCTTTGATATTGGTGAAATGCAATAATATCAAAAGAGCTAAATCAGTTAAATCAAAAGATGATTGCATCATGATCTATCACTATTTTAAACATGATAGATGTTTAGATGTTTGTTTGACATAGACACCACTGATAAGCTACTACTAAATATAATGTAGAAACATTAAAATGGAAACTAAAATTTTCTGTAAAGCTGCTTTGCAATGATTTGTATTGTGAAAAG